TAAAAAAATGAGTGTGTCATTAAATTATTTATTATAAGTATAAAGCAAAAATGGATACCCTAAAATATCATCATTCGAACAACCTTTACAGAGAGCAGGACCGAGTTTTGCCCGTCCACCAAATTCTTTATTTTTTACATTAACACCTCTATATATGGGAAATAGCATTTAATGTATAAATCAATAATTATTTGTATATATATATATTTATTTCAATTAGAGTAGCAATTAATAACTTACCCATCAACAATATAAACATTCACATTAGAACCAGCACTACTAGGATAAGTGTATTTTCCATCCAATGGACGCCTTTGTTGGTCAATACGATCCAAATTCTAAAAAATTTATATAATGTGACATTAACGTTGTTTATTCTGTCTATTCAAATAAAACAAAGAATTTGAGTAAGAATAAAAGTTACGAGGGGAGTAGTTGTGGTTCGATTTGAAGGAGGTTTGGTTCGCTTTGAAACAATACGAATTGTTTTATCGCTTTCTACATTTTCAACCTCAGGTAATCTAGCCAATTTGACAGCATCACTGGGATTAAACATTCCGATGTAACAATTGAATGATCCAAAACTGATATTTTTAATAATGCTAGGATGATTTGATTGAATAGTGACATCGTCACTGATGCTTTTAGCAAAACAAGATGTTAACATTGCGTAGTGATTATTTATTGCATCTCTTGAGGCTGTTGAGGAGAGCTGAATAATGAATGTCTGAGGGTCTTCATGAGAGTTTTGGTTTGGGGTTAAAGGACAGTTGAACGATTCAACCAAGGTTATTGAGCAAATAATAAAAATGGAGATAATTTTAGGGAAATACGAAATAACGCGCATATTTAGTAACAAGTATCTAGAATTTTGTGGTGGGTGAACGAAAAAATAAATGGATAACTGATAAAGTATAGATAAAAATTCAGAAATTCTTATATAGTTTTTAAAGTGTATCGTTTTATGGTGTTTACATTAGTGATTGGCACCGAATGAGATCTGTACGGGAATAGCAACAAAAATTTCGGGTAAGGAATGTAAGTTACGAATTTCGGACGAAATCGAAAACTATCCTATTCGGTCATGGGCAATTTTGTTGTTTATTCCAAATTTATAACAATTATAATAAACTTTGTACTGTACGAATAATTTAAAATTTAACTAATGAAGCTACTCATTGAGTAGTTCAGATCAGCTACCCTATAAAAAAGTCGATCCGTGTTTTGTCTATAAATGTTGCATATTCACGGAATTTATAACATTAAATAATGAAGATTATTAAGCTTGTCTAGATTTTGTCGATCATGCTGCAGATTCACGGAGTTTTCACAAGAAATAATGGAAATATTCGGAAAAAATTTTTTACAGGACTGATCAGTGTTAACGTAATTTTTGTTATTGCTAATAATACACATAATTCTATATAGGGTTCAAGAGAATTATTGTAGTATCGCAAAGGCCGAATTAATTTTACAAGTTTTAAACTGAAAACTTTACATCCCGCAAAGGAATTCACGCGTTTTCACACACTAGATATTGGAAAATCTATAAATTGTTCATCATTGATCTGTATTAGTGTTGTTAGGCGAAACCTCGAGGTTTCGCCACAGGCGAAAGGCGAAACCTAGTTTCGACTTTCACCAAAAAAAAATTAAAATGACGAAATGGCGAAACTGGCGAAAGGTGGCGAAACTGGCGAAACTGGCGAAACTAATAAAAGGTGGCGAATGATGATATTTTAGGGTATCCATTTTTGCTTTATACTTATAATAAATAATTTAATGACACACTCATTTTTTTA